CTTTCTTTCTTTCTTTCTTTCTTTCTTTCTTTCTTTCTTTCTTTCTTCTTTCTTTCTCTCTCTTTCTCTCTCTCTCTTTCTCTCGGAGGGACCTTGGAGGCCTCCTAGTCCAACCCTCCACTCTGGCAAGAAACCCTCCACCATTTCTGACCGACGCCTTCTTGAAACGAGGAGGCTCCCACAACTTCTGAAGGCAACTTCTGTTCCATCAACCTCCATTCGAAGTTGAGTCTCTCCTTGGATCAGTTTCCATCCATTGTTCCTTGTCCGGCCTTTGGGTGGGGGGGCTTTGGAGAACAGGTGGCGTTCCTGCCCCCCCCCTCTAGGGCCCACTCAACTGAATGCAGCCCCCCCTCCGCATTCCCCCCCCCCGTGTATTGTCCCCAACCTTCCCCAATGTAATCAAACATCGCGCTAAGTAGCAAATAAATCTCTCCGTCTCTTAAGCCGCACAGCGAGATCATGTAAATGCAAATGAGAAGCTGGAGATCAAGCTGTGGTTTGGGTGGGGGGGTTATGTCGGAAGGGGGGAGCAGGGGATCCCTGGAAGCACCCTGGTCCCCAGGACCCATAAATCAGGGATGATCCTCGTAATGGGGGGGGGAATTGGGGGGCTTTAAGGCCTGGGGCTGGGGAGGACGGCTCCTTTTAAGTGAAGCCAATGCTTAAGGAGGAAAGAGCAACGATCGATCATAGGTGCCGCATTTGTCCGGAGCAAAATAAGAAGGAAAGGAAAAGGAAAAAGGGAAAGAAAGAAAAAGGGAAAAGGGGAAGGGGAAAGGAAAGGAGAAAAGGAAAAGGAAAGGAAAAAAACGAAAGGAAAAGGAAAGAAAACAAGGGGAAGGGAAGGGGAAAAGGAAAAGAAAGGAAAAGGAGAGGAGGAGAAAGTTCCCTAATTCTCAAGATCGTTAATAAAAATGCCTGCTTCCTTGGGAGTTTGTATTTTGCTCCCCTACAGGTAGTCCTCAACATACAACAGGTCGTTTAGTGACAGCTTCAAAGTTACAAGGGCACTGAAAACAAAAAGACTTATGAGTGTTTTTCACATTGATGGCTGTTGCGGCATCTCTGTGGTCACGGGATCAGAATCGGGATGCTTGGCAACTGGCTCATATTTATGTCGGTGTCTCCTGAAAGAAAGAAAGAAAGAAAGAAAGAAAGAAAGAAAGAAAGAAAGAAAGAAAGAAAGAAAGAAAGAAAGAAAGAGAGAGAGAGAGAGAGAAAACAAACCGGACGGGGCATCTTGGAAAAATAGACAGAGTTGGTTTTAATTAGAATGGTGAGGTGGGAAATAAGGCCGGTGAAATAACATCTTAATGAGGTTTAATGATGTTTAATGAAGTTATCCGCTCCTGAGGACAGCCGTGGAGGGCAGGAAGAACGCCGTTTCTACCCAGGGAACGGAGAAAACCCTGCGTTGAATCAGCGCAGCATTGGATAGGCCATCTGTTTTTACGGTGAAATTAAAAACAAAAAAAAACAGAAGTGGATGTAATTCGATCGGGATCTGGGCGTAACCTTTTGTGCTTTAGATTTTTATGGCTAGGGAAAAGAAAGAAAGAAAGAAAGAAAGAAAGAAAGAAAGAAAGAAAGAAAGAAAGAAAGAAAGAAAGAAAGAGCAAAAAACCTCCAACTCGACTCAGCCAGAGAGGCAGATACAGAATCACAGAGTTGAAAGGGACCTTGGAGGTCCTTTAGTCTAGTGGTCGCCAACCGGTGGGCCATGGCCCACTGGTGGTCTGCGAGAAAATCTTGGTGGTCCCTGGGAAAATCCCCCCCCCCAAAAAAACTCTGCAGGAAAATCCCCCACCCTGTTTTCCTACCAATTGATTGTTCTTTATTTGGGATTACAGGATACCCTCCCTCCCTCCTTCCCTCTCTCTCTCTCTCTCTCCGCCCTCCAAGAATGGACCTGAAAAGTAGGTGAGTGAAGGAATGTGGTTGCCTTGGAGGGGATAGGGGTGTGTGTGTGTGTGTGTGTGTGTGTGTGTGTGTGAGAGAGAGAGAGAGAGAGAGAGAGAGAGAGAGAGAGAGAGAGAACATCACTGCCAGCCCTCCAAGGTTAGATTGGATCTCTCTCTCTCTCCTTCCAACTTCAGCAAGCCGCTGTCAATCAAAATTCACATTAGTGATTTAAAATTATGAGTTTGGTGGTCCCTGAGGCCCAAAAGGTTGGCCACCCTTGCTCCGGTCCGGCTCCCCTGCTGGAGCCAGGAGGCTAGGAAGAATCCACCCAGGAGTGCAGAAACGGGACAAAAAGTTAGTTGTGGTTTGACAAAACGTCCTGCGCGGCTTCTTGGGGCCGCCTTTCACCGACGACGGGGGTCCAAGTCAGGAAAAACAGATTAACAGTTGGAACGAGGAGAAAGTGAGCCGGGGCCGAGACAAATAGGTCAGAGTTGAACAAAAACGCTCCAACGAAGCTTTGAAGGGAGACAAGAGCCAGCGACCGCGGATCGAATTTATTTAGTTTTCAAATTAACTCCCTTTCTTTCTCCCGGGGGGCCTTGTGGTGTCTGTGGGATTCATTGACACCCCGCACGAATTGTCCTTTTTGTCTTGACCGAGGGTCTCCATGGTGAAGCCAGGCAGAGATTAGCTGCCTTGGAAAGGGGCTTGTCTCCCCCACACCCCAGCCCCCCACATCAGAAATCGAGGAGAAGTGAAGTTGGGACGGCTGACCGAGTGGCTGGCTGGGAATCCCCACCTGAGATTTTTCCTCCCTTAACTTCATCTTTGGGGTCGACGCACAACGGGGAAAAAATTGGGTGTTGTTTTTTTTTTTTGCTTTTTCTCCTTCTCCCCACAACAAACCTCCTTCCCACCCGGTTGGTGCAAATCCCTTGCTGAAAATGTTGTGGGGGTTCTCCCCTCCTCCCCAGGTTTCCTCCCACCCACCCCCCACCCCCGATTAGCAAGACAAGCCCACCCACAGGTTGTTAAGGAACCAACTCCGCTAGGAGTTAAATCTCTGGGTGGGTTCCAGATTAGAAGCCAGCTTTAAAAAACCCAGGAAAGGGGTCTGGTCTAACACGATGGGATCAAGTCCCTTCTTTTTTTTTTTTTAAGGCATGATAAAAACCAAAGATTTAAATAAGTTTTGCAGAGGGGTGAGGGCCCCCGTTATGTGCAAGCGGTGAGTACAGGCAGTGCTCAACCTACGGCCACAATTGGCATCAGAGTTTCTAACTTTCTGAGCAACGTGGTTGTTAAACGAATGGCTGTGGTAGAACAACAGAGCTGGAAGGGGCCTCAGAGGTCGTCTAGTCCAACCCCTTGCTCACGCGGGAAACCCTATGTATTTTGCTGATCCACTAATTTAGTCACTTCGTTGAAGAATGAAATGAAATAAGATTTGTTCTTCTCTTTCCTTCTCTTCTCTTCCCTTCTTTTCTCTTCTTTTCCATTCCACCCCACCCCATTATTCTATTCTATTCTATTCTATTCTATTCTATTCTATTCTATTCTATTCTATTCTATTCTATTCTATTCT